GGGTAACCCAAAACCGAAGGCCCCACAATTCAAACCAAAACACCGCAAAACGAAGGGGTAACCCAAAACCGAAGGGGCCAACGTCCGAGATAACATTTCAACCTTTGGAATTTTGCCGATAGCTCATGTAGCATAAAGAAAACTCCGAGATGCTACCATCGCAGCAGCATCAAGCTCGACATCGTAACGGCCGTTGCCACCATCAACTTGGGAGTGCATGTTTACTTGTGATTATTCAGCCTTTCCCCCCATTGCCACCAACATTCGCTACATATCCTCGTGTCGCTTTCCAGCATCATGTTAAGAATCAGTATGAGTATGACAACTATCATCATCATCATCCTCATCATCATGATCTATATCATTACTGCCCTCAAGATGACCATCATCAGCATCATGGTGTGTGTCTGCAAGGTTGCGGCCATGATGATGATGATGATGATGATGGTGATGATCATCATCATCAACGTCAGAAACATAAACCTTGTACTAGACTGTTGCTCGACACCAGCACTCTCCGCATCATCATTGCGGCTCCTCCTCTTGTTTTCGCCTCCCCAGCCGGATGATGATGATGATGATGATGATGATGATGATGCTGGTGGCGGTGGTGGTGGTGATGATAACGATGGTGAGGATGAGAATGAGGATGAGCATGAGGATGGTGAGCATGAGAAGGATGAGGGTGATGGAGGATGACGATTCTCATGCTGATGATGATGATGACGATGATGCTGATGATGATGGTGGATGGCGAGGTCGTTGATGTCAGCATCATCGCCATCAGCGTGCTCATCTGTCTTCTGTCTTTACGATCATGGCCAGCCTTTGTCCCTGTACTGAGCTTGGAAAGCGATGATTCATCAGTTTGCTTCTTGTGGTCTTGCCAGCTTCCACACAAGTGCGCGTCTCTGGGAAACCCGAACAGGATGAAACCTTTGGCAGCGTTGTGCTGCCTGCAAATCAGCCGGAGATGGAAGAGATATCAAGGCGTAAACGTCAACGTCTTTAGTGTGCTTCTGTGAGAGTCTACTTCTGGGTGTGCTCTGCATGATGATCTTGGACCCTCAGGAAGCTGTACGAGCAAGTGACTTCGCTGGGTCCTTAAGAGAAGCTCAAACCTGATGCGACAAGTAGACTAAGTAGACGCAACAGAGCGTTGTCTGGCTCAGCACTTTGGCTGAAGTGAAAGCTGCCGGTTGTTGCTCCTGTACCTCCATTGTGTCATGGTTTCACGTGGTGCTTCAAATCGACTGCTGGCTTGTGTGGCAACATGGTATTCAACTGTTGCTGTTGTGGCAGAGTCTGAACCGACCATCGATCTTGCACAAGAATCAGAGTGTAAGTTGGAGGCGGACGGACAGTGCCCAGAAGCTGCGTCCAGCTTCATCCAGCTTAGAAGAGGGCAACTAAGAAATAACGGCTCCTGCGAAGGAGAAGCTTTCACAAGCGTGGCTAGACATATTCGCTCTGCTGTCAGAGGTGCTCCGCCTGAAAACAAAATCATTGCTGCATTCCGCCATGGTTGTGATCCAACATTGCCAGCGTATTCGTCAGATTGTCCTGCAGTTAAAGCGTCGCACTCAGAAGCTTACTTCCACACGCTGGAAAAACTCAACAGAGCAGTTGGCAAGTTTGGTGCTGTTTCGATGTCTTTTGATGACTTTGTCATGGTTTCTCTGCATCATTGCATGTGGCAGAATCGCCACAATCCTGGCGATCAATTTGGAGATGATCCCTTCGACACCTGCACCCCCAAGAAGCTGTGCAGCATGATCACAACCAGGGCTGATTTCGAGAAGCATTTGCCGCTGGTGTCGCTAGAAGCACAGCAGCATCGGCTCGGCCGTTCAATGCGCACACCAACCCCTGGGTGGCCTGGCACTGGAAAAGCATATCAGATGGTCCGCGTATCGCTACTGCACCTCGGCAGCATTTCTGGCTGTGGAGTCAAGGTCTGAGCTTGTCTCCTGTGTCCTCGTGCTATCCAAGGCATAAAGCAGACGGCACCGGATCGGCTCCTGAGACCATCTTGGGGAAAGGCGGTTTGAGGCTCTCCGTGATTAATGGAGGATGGGCCGAGCAAGCCACTCTCTACCTGGAGCCCAAGTACGAGCAGGACTTCCAGGTTGCTTGGGGGAAGACTCGAAGCGGCATGCTTCCGAAGAACAAGCTCGGAGGCCCTCCGCTTCATCTGCAGAGTGGCCTCGTGGCAGCTCGTCCTGGGGAGGCGATCCAAAACTTCTCGGATACCCCAGTTGTTGCCAAGATGCCGCCTGCAGCTGGCAAGCCTATTACATTTCTTGTGATTGGTGATCCTTGCAACGGGAACATGCTGGGTTTTGGCCAGTGCGGCTTCCGTGACTACTATGGAGTAAACAGGACGCTGCCAACGTTGTTGAATGCTGCCCTACCCAGCACCGATGTCTGGTACCTCACCGGCGACAACTTTTACGATCGCTATGGTGTTTTTACGGTCAGTATTTTCGCGCAGCTTGAGCCAGCTGCACAAGGTATTCCACTGATCTCAACGCCTGGAAATCACGACTACTGGTTTGATGGCATTCCTGCTACGGCTGTCAACTCTTATGAACTGGGCTATGATCAGTTTGCTATTGGCGGAGCACAGTTCCTTGGTCCTCAGAAGCATTGTTTGGGGTAACGCCTATACATGATACTGAACAAGAGCAGTGCTGCCTAGTATTGACTCCATGAGTGGGCATGGAAGGGTTTGCCAGGCATCCCAGTTTCCATTTTCTTTTCCATTTGATTCTCCATTATTGACTAGGATCCCATTACAGTAGTTTCCATTTTATTTTCCATTATCCCAATATATCCCCAATATAAACCCTAAATAACCTGAAGTGTCCATGTCGGAGCCAGAGCTTTGAAAAGGCCCAGAGGCCTGTGGCGCGCTGCATGGAAAGATTCACGTTGCAGGGGGGTACTGTGAGATGTTGGCATCAAGGGTTCGAGGAAAGGGATGTGGGAGGGGTTTTCAAAGGTATCCGGGAGGACAAGTTGAGACTGGCAGTCGTGATTTAACGGGAGTTGAAGCTGGGTCTGAGACTGGTATGCAATGGTATGGGGCTGGAGGCAACTCAATTGATCCCCATGTCTGGAACTCCCAAGAAACTCCTTGTATCACGCTGTGACTAAAAGTAGTGGGGAGTGGGGCAGCGAGGTTCTATGCAATGGACTCTGCAGCGACTTTTGCACCAGCAGCACCCGCAAAGGATCAGATCTCGCCAGCAGGGACCGCAGCCACCAAGTTTTCGCAAGCGCCTGCATTCTTAGATTTTTCTGCTGTCCCAAAAGACACTGCGAAACCGGCAAACTTCCAGCACTACAGCATTGCGGGCAATGTCGGCTTCATCGTCATCACCTGCGTTGGAGGAGACCCCCGCCCGTTTGTCACGGAGGCATGCAGCTTCATGAAGGAGAAGAACCCTGATCTCGTTCTGATGCTTGGCCATTGGAACAAGCCAGGCAGTGGCTGTACCACTGGCTGGGATGTGCCCAACGTCACTGCCTGGGCCCTTGATAACTCGGACTGTGCGGCCTTCAGGGGCCAGTCAGGCAAAGCACCTTACGGCTCTTCTGGAACAGCAGCTACACGCATGAAATTTATCGTAGGCCATCAACACTGCAACTGCATGACCAGCTTTGCACTCACTGTCAGGGATACCTGCCTGGATGACACTGCGGACCCGTCTGAAGTTGATGGCTTCATCATTGGTTCGCACGGAATGTCTTGGGATCCACAGGAGACAGAGCCCCCATGCAGTTCTCGGTTTGGTCTTCCGGTGCTTCGGACAGATGGTAGTACATTGACCTTCGCTTATGCAAAGCTGTCTTTGGAAACGACGGTCACGCACTGCCATTGGTATGACCTGTTCTGCCATGCTGGCCCTGGTGAAGTCTCAACAACAGATCTATGGGAGTCCTTCATGTCCTTCACCCCATCTGGCTGGTCGTATAAGGCCGCGGGCCCTTGGGGAAAGGGCATCATTAAGGACAAGATGGAAGGCCTCCTGGCGTGCTTGAAGGATAAGGGCACGCATGAATGTTCCAAGGATGCCAGCATTTTTGACCAATGGTACTCAAAGGCTCTGCAATGAAATGATACTTTAAGCTCTTGAGCGCTGCTTCTCGGCCGTACGCTCCGAAAGTGGCCAGAGCAGTGCTGTGATGCCGCGGATCTTTGTTTCATCAAGTTACTCTTCCTTTGACTTGGTTCATCTTGATACTCATGTGGACAGAAGTTCCACGTCTCTGCGTAGATTTGTTCCAAGTCATGGCATGACCTGCCATTGCAAGATGCAGATCCTTAATCTGCCCTGCCCGACATCCGCCTAGAGAGCGAAGAACAACTCATCTCCCGGACTTCCATCGGTGCAGCACTGATGTGCACAGGCAACTGCAAGCTAGGCACAGGGGCAGTATTGTACCAGGCTGGACGACACAAGCCAGTCCGCGCTGGCTTGCCTGATGCTGCAGGAATGTCAAGAGGCCGGCAGAGCAAGGAAGACTAAGGTTCCAAAATTCTCGTCAATGCCATTTAGTTTCGTTAGTCTTCCTTCACTATAGGGTTGATAGAATCCTGAAGGGCCTGCTCGAGCTTCCAAGTTCTGCCAGCTGTATGGACAGGAGTGTTGGAAGGCTCTCTGTGCACAGCTGGAGCACAAGTGGACCTCTCAGTTGCCAATCTTCATGTGTTGCGGGGGTAGTTGTGCACTTGAATCGATTCCACTGCGTCTGTTTGTCAAGGCTCGGGTGCTCCATTCGTGGCCTTCTCAGATCAGGTTGTCATCGGTCTTACAGTATATCTGCTTCGACATGAACCCAGGCCACGTAGTGTCTACTAACTCCTCCAGTTACCCGGACCTCATGGATGAGGAGACAGCAGTGAGTTGTTGGCGGCAGAGGTTCCGCAGGTATTCCATTCTCCTTCCGCCATGCTGTGCGCGTAGGAGGAGGAAGAAGTCGTCAAAAGACTGGACTCCGAAGCACTCCGCGAGGGTCTGAGGGAGGCGCACCTGACTCATTGTGTTTGCAAGCGAGACGGCAATCCATTGACGGGTGTGGTTGGTAATCTGGATCTTCGTCAAAGTATCAAGAGGCTGTCATTGGTCACTAGTTATTCGTTTTTATTGCTTGAGTGCCGCTGAGCAAGGGCTCAAAAGCAAACACATTATTTATAGACATATATGCTAATAGAGACTCCAGCAGGAGGTCTTGCATGGCCTTAAGTCAAGGACTCTACCGCTTCAGGGTCTGTGAGATGTGTACCTGATTTGCAAACAAAACGGTCTTTACATGCTACCAAGGGCATGAGCTCATCAGCTGACCGACAGTTTTGGTAACCGTCAACATGAGGGGCATCCGACACAACAACTCACCCTGCCAAAACAAGAGATTCCAGTTTAAGTTTTATGGCTCAGTGCTAGGGCTCTTGTAGCTGAAGACCTGCACTTGAAAGCTTGTCCATTCAAACCTTTCAAACCCTAGAGTATGCTCCGCATTTCTAGATGCTCGATCTGATAGGCAAAGGCAAAGACGGCAAGAATCTGAATTTCTCCAGCATAGATGCCCCATATCATTGGCGGTTAAAGGATTCCTTTACTTTCGGTAGAACCATGCTGGCACAAAGTCGCTTAAACAGTTTTCTGGGTGGTTTCTGCAGACACTCACAGGAGCAAATCGTGATCTGAAAGCCAAAGACCCCTTGAGACCAACAACTCCCACTCAGGGCAGTCTCGTTCTCAACCAGGCATGTGTCAGAAGGTTGAAAGATGTTTAGCCGGAAGCAGGGGCGTGTATTTAAGATCAACCCTCTTCAGTCCGACCATTAATAGTAGGGACATCAACATAATTTACAATAACCATGCTACCTCGATAGTCCATATACAGTCCTCGATTGGGGGCCCCTATATCTTGAGAGCCCCACCAAATTTCAAACCACTGTAAACCATTACGATACCAGTTTTCATTTGGCCACTATCTTTCCATTTGACTCTCCATTCCTGGAAGAATGAATGCTGCTAAACCCTTAACCCTGTATATATTCCCATATATCCCACCCTCCAAACCTAGTACCCTAAACCCTAAACCCTAAACCCCTCTAAAATTCCCTAAACCCTAAACCCTAAACCCGTGTGTGCCGGATGAGTTTGTTTACCTCAAGGCTCCCACGATGGTTAGCAGGGCTGGTAGAACTGCTCGGCTGTGACTGTCTGTGGTGATTTCAGATGAGGGATTGCTGAGCTGGCAGTAGCGTGGCTCAGGAGTATGCGGCTAGTGAGGTTGGCCCAGGACCGTGCCGAAATGGCATCTTTAAGGATACCAAGCCTTCGAGAAAAGGTCCCGCAAAAAAAAAAAACCCGAAACCCTAAAACCCTGGGGGAGCCAGGTCTTGAGCTCCATGCAAAGGGAGCTGCCAAGCTCAAGGCCGACGCTGCTTGGAAGGGGATGGCCCTCATCGAGGCAGAGGGTCTGGGTTTTGGGGGTTGTTTGGGGGCTTGTTTGGTTTAGGGTGTAGGGTTTAGGAATTGTTTGGGTCCTTGGAGTTCAAGTTTGGGCGTTCAGGGGTGTCACGATTCAGGGACTGGAGTTAAAAGCGATGTCTCGGAGATCATTGATATTTCCAGCGGCTTGCGCGGACCCTCTATTCAAAGGATATCAAAGGGACTTCGTAAGGTTTTGTGGGGTTACTCCTGGGCATAGTGGAGATGAGAAAGGATGAGAATCACACGCATTACAGGGATAAGAAGTGATGATGTGGAGGTTAGCGGGAGGCGGCAAAAGTGGCTTCCTGAACGTGTTTTGAGTACAAGAAAGGCTTTGGTTCCGAGGACTACTTTTGCGTCATCCCCCCACCGGCTAGTTGTGGCCACAGGTGGCAATGGCAAGTATATTCAAGCATCTTGTCAAAATTTGACAATTTCCATGCCTTTGACACCTGAAGTACTTCTGGCAAACCTGACCTTACCATCCTTTCAAACAGATCCGAAAGTCATGTTAAAGGGCACCATATTACTTGGGGGGTATGCAGCAGGAACCCATTTGAAACAGAAAGCCATCACGCTTGTCTGCACAGCCAGTACCAGGTTTTGGGGAACCCTTAGCTGTCGCAGAGTTGTGATGAGAAGCTCAAGATAGAGGCAAGAGGCCCTGTAAGGCTGATGGCCTCAAACAACCGCTCTCGCCACCCCTGGTATGGAGAATCTCCTATGCCCCTTCTCCATCGCAGAGTCCCCTTGCTGGCAGGAAGAGCTCCAATTCCTTGCTCAGCTTGTGAAATCTCATAGCAGTTACTAGTGAAAGGAGGCGGAACGAATATCCAACGCAGTTTAGGAGGTTCATGGAGGTTCAAAAGTTCAACGCTGCGAGACAAGGGTATAGATGTGGTCTGGGGGCCCATTGGCTTTTGTTACGTGCTGTGCCACAGCGAGAAGTGACTCGGAGCCAGAGTGCTCTTTGCTAAGAGCAGCTGGCCTATCTCACAGGAATATGACGTACAAGTATCTTTGCAGCTGTGCTAAAGTTGAAGCAGTTTTCAGATTGGTGATGAGATGGCCAAGCTTGCTATGGTCGCTTGTCGCATCGAGAGGCTGTAGATTTTCCTGTTAACAGCCCTGGCGTCAGCACTGTGACAGCTTCTCTGGGAGACCTGTGCATGCCCTGAAACCCGGGCCAGGTCCAATGTTTTTTGGAGCATGACTTCACAAATCTTCACAAGCTGCTGATAGCTGTGGTGAACCACTGAAAGGTGCTTGGGTGCGAGAGCCACGGAGCCCCGCGTTCAGCTCAAGCGCAACTTTCGGTAGTTCGGTAGTGGAGTTTACGTCTCCCTGCAGCTCACAAGGTGGCTGTGTGGGAATCCCTTCATGAAGCAGTGTTGTGACGCTACAGATGCGAAGCAATGCTTCGAAACACAAATTTCCAGGTGGGCAGAAAGGGTGGCCCAAGGCACCCCTAGGTTTGTAGCCATTGTGGCTTGCTCCGCAATGGCTGGGAGAGATACGGAGAAAGAGCTTGAGGTGGGCATGGCAACGGGAGCAACCACAGGCAGCAAGGTTTCCAAGGGATGGCTGTGTCACGGTGCGATTCAAGCATTCGTGTTGATGCAACCGCAGCCCACAGCAGGCTTGATGTAAGTTTTCATGAAGGAAGGATATCAACACAGATTGGTTCGCTGCTCTAACAAATTCAACAGAACTCGTGAGATCAGTCTGTTAGAGCTCCTTCACATGCCAGGGTTACACACCACGAGCACATCACAATCCAGGAGCACAGAGTTTTTTTCTTCCAGCTGTTTTGGCGATCTCTCTGCTGCCCGGCTTCGCCCGTCCGCGGCCTCAGTTAAGTCAGTTATCTGAAGCCGGCTTTGGCGTAGCTTTGCACAGTCCTGCGTGAGGTCATGGAGGGCCGTGCTGTGCGGGGGGTGCCCGTGCTCTGTTTGCATCAATTTACAGCCCTGCATGGTGACAGTTTGAAGAGTCGAAGCAGCAATCACACATTGACTAAGTCATCACCATATCGGAGTGCGTCCGGAATGGCCCAAGCCTTGTTACTTGTGGACCGTGGCCGTCATCACTTAGTTGCTGTCCATGCATGGCTGCCTTTGTAAGGCAAGCACGCTTGGTGCGGGAGCGAACAGACTGAGGCGTCTTGCTCCTGTGGCGGATTTTGGCAGGTTGATTGCAATCACATTGTGCACAAACCTCTTAGTTTAGCTCTCACTCGGCAAGGCTAATTACTTGAAGCTGGGCTGAACACGGAGCCTGACAGTGCGCCCGTTGTCTGGGAAGGTCTGCGAGCCCTTCCAGGCGAGCATTGGCCATCGTGCGGATCTCAGGCTAGTGGCAGGCAGTCGCAGACTTGTTTTTGCCTTGATTCCGAGTGTGGGAGCATGGTTTCATTGAGGACATGAGGCGCATTGCCAGCTTGCTTCGCCGATCACCAAGAAAGTCCACTGCTAGAGCGCTCTACACACTTTCACACTGTCGGTGTGCCTTTTGCATCATTCATATCATCCTCAAAGCATGTTGGCACTCGAGGCGATCCAGCTGGTGCTTTGCAAGGTACCGGGGAGATGCCTAGCTGCAAAAAGTCCCAGCTTCGCTGCTCCTTCAGTGCTAGATGCTGTTACCCTTAGGAGCATGAACAATTCCATTTGTTCCAGTCCGAACAGCGCCGCAAGCTCAGACGCCAAGCTCATGCAGTGCTGGAGTGGCATGCATGCCAGCGAGCACCAGCCATCACCTGCTCCTCCTTTCGGCATCAGCGATTTTCCCAGGCTTGGGAGCCTGGAGATCGGGGGGCGGCCCCCACGGGCTCTTCGGCACGGGCGCAGCGCTGAAGGGACTTCTAGAAGCCAACTTCTGATTTTCTGTTGGAAGCTGTCTAGGCTGCGAGCTTATCCCGCATGGAAGCCCCGTCACGTTTGTAGATGTTTGCAGAACCAATTGTGGTGCAGGCCTTGAGTAACCAATTGATTGGGGCATTTAGGAGCGAATTTGAGGTTTCGTGCTTTCTGGAGCCTATTGGGGTATTTGGAGCTGATTTTGGCCTTCTGGAAACAGATGTGCTTATTCGGAGCCAACCTGTGTCCTTCGGAGTATTTGCAGTCTTTGGAGCTAATTCGAGAGTCCTGAAACCATGAGCACAATTTTATTGCCTTACAAATGGCAGGTGATGCAGAACCAGTTTACGGCGCTGGCTGAGCGGATGAACAGCGGGGAGCGGCGCTTGGATTTGGCGGTGTCAGTCGCACTTTGCCTTGCCTAACAGACGCTGTGCTGTATGACTTGTTTTGCTGCGAGGTGTCAACCCTTCAGCGCCAGTGCGAGGTTGATAGGCGCAGACGGAAAGATTGCCTCGCTTAGCCCAGCGCACTTTGGTGATACTGCCTCCCTGCTATTCTGGCCCAATGCTTGCCAAGGGCTCCTTGTGGGATGCGACAGCCATGGTCTGGGGATGAAGCACTTCCAGATGAGCCACATGGGTTGGTATTTGTCACCCCAGAGAAGCCCACAAAGTGCGAGTCACTGACAGAATGGTTACTTGAGGACCTCGGAAGCTTGCATCCGCCGCTGCAGCCCGTCCTGCAGGTATATTTTTTTCTGTTGCGCCCACCTCTGTCGCGTCTAGGTCCTAGTGCTGCCACTGTACTCCCTCTAATTTTACCACATGGTCCAGGTACCGCAGCCATTCATTGCCTGCCGGCTACAGCTTCCAGTTCATACCTGCAGTTAGGCAGATTGTGTTATACCACGATTCTGGCGTGGTCATTTGTGACAGGGTGGTACAGCGCGTCGTATGCTCCTGCAGTCAACCTCACCTATCCTTTCAGTATGGGACCCTCCAGATGTTCTCGTTGCAGGGCAGCAGTGCCATCCTCGAGACGAGTACAGACGAGCCAAGCAGCTGGCGTAGGCAACAGGTTTGGCCCGATGTGGTGGGCTGTGTTGCGGTCACAATGCCATGCCCAGTGGGCAAGTCTTCGTATGTCTGCAGTGTCCTGGAACTGAAGTCAGGCTACGGGCTGGCAAGGGCGCTGAGCCCAAGCTCCCAGCAAGATACGGAGACACCAGTGGAACTTGTCCGACAGGTGCTGAGGTTTCCAAGCACAGTCATAAACCGTGAAGGGGCCGAGCGTCTGGTGAAGGTGCCGAGCGAGGCTCCACAGAGGCCAAAGCCACGCGGTTTGCAGATATGTCTTGAACATGGCAATGTGACCGCGTTTGCCCACCTCATGCAGTCGGACACAGCAGCTTCTCGAACTTTGCCTCTCAAGCCTCTGCACTTTGCGATTGACATCCTGGTTAGCAAAGCCTGGGAGGCTGGCCGATGTCTATCAGCTCTGTCCGCGATGATCCTGTCGCTCATCGAGCACAAGGTGGACGTCAACGAAACGGCAGAGCACGGGGAGACCCCCCTGCACGCCATACAGCGCCTGGTCTCGGATAGGGAAGTGGTGAAGCTCTGTAAAGCACGCCTGGCGGTGGCCATGCTCAGGGCCAAAGCAGATCCCAATGCAACGGACAAGTGCGGAGACTCACCGCTTTCGGAAGCAGCAGCTGTGGGCGACTTGGAGATGTGTAAACTGCTGCTGGAGCGCGGTGCGCGTGCCAGAGCTCCTCAATCCGGTCTAGATCCAGAAGTGCATCAACTTCTCCAGGAGGCAGCAGAGCGTCAGCAGAGCATGCTTTCAAGTCTGATTTCCACAGGTTTTTCCTACCTCCAGCAGGATCCAGTCCGGGCTGTCTCCTGCTTCGCGGATGCTCTGGCCTTGGACCCGCTGAACCCGGACGTTCTCCAGGCAGCAGCGGAGGCCGAGTATGTGGCTGGCAACTTCCCTTCTGCTTATCAGCATGCCAGTCGCAGTGTGGCCACCAATCCGCTGAAGGGCTCTGCGTATGCCACATGTGCCCAAGCACTCTGGCAGCTAAACCGTGTCCAGGAGGCGCTTGCCGTCGTTGAATTGCTCCCGGAGGCGGCATCCAGTCAGAGTGTGGCGGAGATCAGTACAAGAATTTTGAGGCACTCGAGTTGCATAGATGGTGTGGAGAATTTGGTGTCAGGCAAACCAAATCTGAATTTGGTAGCATGTGGCGCGGGACTGCAGGAGGTAGAGACCCTGCTGGAAGATATGGCTCCGCAAGAGCAAGTGTCACCGTGGGGCGTTCGTGTGAGATTACTCCTGGTGCAGCTATGCATTTTTCTGTCGCAGCCTGAGAACACGAGACACCACTGGACTACCAGAGCGCTGTCAGAGACAAAACAGCTCAGAAAGGTCCAGGGCAAATGTGGACGAGTCTTGCACTGGCACGCTCGTGCACTGCTTCAGGCAGGATGCCGCGAAGATGCGATCAATGCACTGCGCTGCGCAAGCCAGCTGCCTGGCGGCGACGAAGGCTTCCTCAACAACCTCCTGCGGGCGGATTCCCTGCGAAATGAGGGTGAGGCGGCCGCTGCACAAAATCGTTGGGCTGCGGCACTGGAATATTTTGAGGATGCAGAGTCCTGTGGAGCCTGTGATCCAGATTCCCTTGCCTTGCTTCTGGCAGAGAAGGCAATGGCCAAATTCAAGCTGAAGCGATGTGGCGAGGCACTACGCGATGTCAGTGCTGGGCTTGACATGGTCTCCAGTTTTGCAAGGCTTCATCTGATTCGTGGTTTGATTCATATGGACTTAGAGATGTATCCCCAAGCCGCAGCAGATTTCGACAGGGTCGCCGCCATAAATCCCACGGAGATGTGTGGTGAGCTTCATGAGCGAGCTCGCCGGTGGGCCCGCACGCTGCCAGTACCAGATCACTATGCAGCATTAGGTCTCTTTAAGGCTGCCACTAGTAAAGAGATCAAAAAGGCCTATCGTCTTGCTGCGCTACAATGGCACCCCGACAAGAACGTGGGCAATGAGACGCGCGCAGAGCAGGTTTTCAAGCAAATTCAAGCTGCTTTCGATGTGCTTTCCTGCGAGAGCTCCCGGAAGAAGTACGATGATTATCCTGGTGACCGCCGGCCCTTTGAGGTCCCACCAGCTCCGGAGCCCAGCCCTGATACTTCATGACGATTCCCGGGCACCTAAGAACCATGACGCTGGTCACGTTCATGTTGCGAACATGCGCAGACTGCAGCTCTCGGGATTCGTCCTCGTAGCTTCCAGGCGAAGCCGCTGCTGCTTGCTTGTAGCATCTTGTAGCGCCAGGGCACCCGTTCACGCTCATCAACATGGAAAGATTTGTGCAAGCTGCAAAGCGTCTTGCCCGCACTGTTGGAACAAGCCCGCACGCAAGCTGTTCACTGGAATCCAGATTGCTCAGATGGCCTTGGAGAAACAAGCTCACATCAAGATTCTGTCGGCAACGGGTGAGTGCACATGAGCGGACCCTCCGTGCCTTTCACCGTGTTCTCTCTCCAAAGGAGATGGAGTGGAGTTCTCTCCAAAGGAGAGTTTATTCAATCAGGCAAAAGCAAGTATTATGCCTCTAACATGTTACCAGCATCATAAGGGCTTAGCGTTGAAAGTCTGAGTTGGCATCATGTTCATGTCAGGCGTCGCCTGGCACAGTTGGAGAAGAAGCTGGAGGACGGCTTAATTGGGTTAGGCAGCAGGGGATCACAAAAACATGCAAAAACAAGTCAGTGATAGTCACAGTCATCAGAGCATAAGATGAAGAGCTCTGGAGTTTCAGACCAGCAGGCCCAGTTTGATGAGCGTGCAGACAAGCATGATGGCCGCGTACTGGCCTCAGACACAGTTACTACGATTCTTCGAGGGACACTTCCCCACGCCGGTTATTCAGCCATGTGTGGCTGCATCGTTGGCTGGTTCATGGGAGAATGCTCATGAAGAGCATTTGTCTTGCTGGGAAAGGAACGATGGGCCGAAGTGCAGGGAAGCGTCAACGGCCTGATTGAGGCCTCGCGGCTGTGAGGATGTGGCAGTTGGGTAAGCCGGGTAAGCATTGTCACGTCTTGCGGGCGGTGCGGTGGGCGCGTCGGTGTGGATGCGGATGTGGGCAAAACTTGCACAGGAAACGCAAGCCCTTGCTCGACGCGTCGATGGCTTGGATGAGCGGCTGTGGGCGAGAACGAGTGGGCTGGGCTCCCGGTGGTTTCAACGCGGCCCGAGATCTCCTGTGCAGATTACCGGGTCGTTGCATGGAATAGCGAGCATTGACTCTGCAGATAATCAGGATCCCAACATGAGCAGTGCGTCTTGCGCATCAGGTCGGAGGCTTCCAAGCAGCGGAAGCGGGAACTGGAGCAGCAAGCCCTGTCCTCGCAATCAATGCCATTTGGTGAGTCCTACCTGTAGTACTCAGGTTAATAGCATACTAGCAGCGTTTCTACTGATTTTACTAGTTACTCAAGTTGAAAGTTACTCAAGTTCAAGGAAGGATGCTCCACTCTCTGTGCTTTCCATGCACCTTGCGATTGAGGTGCAAGCCATGGAACAGCAAAATCGCCTCGCGGCAGCTGCCGTGGAGGAGTTCCGCATGTAGAGGCTGATCTAGGCTTTCGTATCAATTAATCAGGTCAGATGTCAAGCGCTGCAAGATGCGGATGGATGCGTCAAAGCACTTTGCTAATGCAGACACTCCTCAGGAGACGCAGAAAAGACAGGTGCATTCTTTAGACCTGTCCCTTTCATCGCTGTCGTTTGGCTCGCACCTTTGACTTCTGCCGGAGCCAAGTTTGTGCACCTGATCAGGCCACAAAGATTCGTCGTGCGGAGCACTCACTTGAAGAGGCGCGACGCCCAGTTGCTGGCAGAGTTGGAATGCGGCTCATTCATGCCGAGTTGAGGTTCTGCGACGTATGGCCGCGATGGAGGACGAGGCAAAGCTGTACTGTACAGCAGAAAGTCGGGCGTGCGAGAGCAAGCAGCTCTCAGCAGGTAAGACAGAAGAATGCCACCCAAAGAGATGGCTACATGGAGGACTGCTGCTGCCTGTGGCAAGTGTTGGTGTCTTGTGTTATGCCCCTATCACATCCTTCTGTTTCGCAGGCTCGGGTGAACAACTTGGAGCAGACCCAGGTGCTGTAGCGGAAGCCATGGAAGCCAGCATCCTTGTCTGCCGCAACGCCCCTTCTCCGCACAGGAAGCGCTGGACGCAGAGATCCGTGCTTTGCAGGCCACTGCTCTCACTTACTGCCAACAGTGTCGGTGCATCAGCTGCCGCCTGAAAGGCCAACCTCGAGGAAGGGCTGCAAATGCGCGACGCTTCTGGGCAGGCCGGATGCAAGGCTCTCCAAGGCTGTCTAGAGCGCTTTCCAGAACGGCAGGAAGGTGCAGAATTGCAGGGGGTTGACGTCTTCGAGGCGCGAAGTCACCGGTGAGACTTGGACTTGGATTTTTTCAATACCAGAGCCAAGAGGGTTGTCAGGCCGTCCGCAAGTCGGAAATGGGCCTGTCAGCACTAGACAGGAAGGCAGGCTGGGGCTGCTATTTGGGGAGCTTGGCGGTGAAAGAGAGTCTGCCAGGTAAGCAGCCAAGTGGAGGAGCCGCCCAGAATTCGCAGACAAGGCGCAGAGGCAAGGGGCGAAAGAGCATTCATCAAATAACTGCAGGACCTTTCCTCTGCGGTCGCCAGCCTCCGTGTCAAAGTCGATGGACTTCTCAGCAGAGTAGCCATCCCAGAGGAAGAGAGAGGGAATGGAGAGGATGGACCATGTAAACATATGTAAACACACCCTGCCGTGAGTTCTGAGGTTGGAGGCCTGGCCGAGCGCATTGAGACGGCTCACGAGCAGGAAGCCGAGGATGGCAGAGGATCAGTGGTGCCTCCTCCCTCGTACTATCTCGTACTATCGCGAAATCCAGCCTCCAGACATCTCCAGACACGAGGCCTGCCATGGAGTCCTTGCGACTCGAGTTGTCGCAGGCTGGGGGCAATCTGCAACATTCTGCGGGTTTTCGGACGGCTCGGGTCTTCAGTTGTGTGAGGCCAGACAACAGGAGCGGCGCGAGTTCGATACGGAGCTGCAGAACCTGAAGAGTCGGTTGCAACAGGCGGGTTACGATGATCGCATCATACGGGGGCATCGCCTTGCGAGCTGTTGGTTGCAAGGCACAAGATTCCAATGATGAGTCGTGTGGTGAGCTCCGCGAGGCCGTTACAGCGGCTGCTGCACTGTGCTGTAGCTCCAAGCCCTCTCCTCCGAGAAGTGTGCAAGAGCATTCAAAAGCTTAGGACCTCCAAAGCTTAGAAAAGGCAGATCCATGCTCGATCTGCTGCAATGAACGCTTACCCGGTAGCCTGCAGCCAGGCCCTTCGACAGAGTCGCTCGGAAATCGCAGCGATCAGCTACCGGCCTGACATCCAGCAGGACTGCAAGCCACATCTTCTGACCCTTGGGTCACCTTGTGTCAGAAGTCTGAATTTGGAAGGGGGGGTGCCTGAGAATCGTGTACTCACTGAATCAACAGCGAGATAACCAATCCTGGCTCTATTCAACTAAGATGAACTGAGCACATAAGACTGTGCTGCATAATGTGTTTTAGCACTGTAGCCGCCATTGTTTCCCCAGCGCAGTGTGCATGTCGGCAGGACAATTCTTGGATGCGCACGACCGATGAAAGGCTTGCAGGATACGAGCAGGACCAATATCCAGCCACAAGCAGAGCAAGCGGTGCACTTGGGGTGTTGGCCACCCATTATTCTTGCTATAAAGGACTTGTACGACTTGCGAGATCGACTAGAACTGGCCCAGGCGAGGATTTCTTGTTGACCAGTTAGGTTCAGTTAAAGGCCGTCTGCCCGCTGGAAGGCAGATGCAACAATGGATGGAAAGACTGGGCTGATGAAACCGGCAGAGGCAAGATTTCCCGGGATGCTGCAGTACAACATGTTTCAAACCTGGTGCTGCAGGATTTCGAGGATGTCCGGCGTCGGCTCGAGTGGCTGGAGGCCTGTTGGTATCACCTTGGACATGTTGCTCTGCTCGGCTCGGCCTATCGATTAGAACGTTCAGGATTGTTTACAATTTTCTGTGCCTCCCTCTTCAAGTTGTGTTGTGAGGAGCACAGCTCTGCTGCCAGCATCTCAGCCAGTGCCTTCACCACCGAATGAGATGCATGAGTGTCAAATGTTGGTCCCAAAAATGAGATACAAAAGCATTCCGGAACTGAACACCAGCGTGTCGGCAGACCCCACGCTCTAGTGCCGAAAGGCTGGTTCTCCCTTCCAAGGCAACAGACAACAAGTCTGAGGCCAGCAGAATCACCCAGGCAGGTTGCTGCAAGTCTTGCAGAAACTTTGAGATTTTTTTCATTCCACCCACTTACGGTCTAGTAACTGGGTACCGCTCTAAGCTCTAAGCCCCGCAGATCCTAAAACCCAAACCCTCAACCAAGCCACCCTTGAGGTCCAGAACAGTCTTTGCGATCTGGTCGAGCAGGTCTCCAGGCTCAAGCAGCAGGCCGTTTTGGGCCTCATTGAAACATTAGCAATAGGCAATCATAGACAATCATAGCAATACTAATCATGGTAACAGGATATTAGCGACAAATTCTAGTATTGTTGTTAATATCATGTTACTGTGATGATTATTTTGCGACTGCTAGGACAAGTACTACTACCAGTAGTACCATTGTTTTTATGATGTCTAGCTTACAGACCAGGGGAGGTGGTGCTAGTTAGAGATCTGGAGCCCTTGCAGGCGGCTTCCTCGGAGGCAAACGCTAACTCCTGGCAGCAGCAGGCGAGCTGCTCCTGGAAATTTGTGGAGCTGACACTTCTTTGCTTGCAATCCGCAGGTGAAGCAGATTCACAGACCCGCACTGAGTCCTGCAGCGGAGACATGCAGAGACCATTTCAGCTTCAGCTGCGTCCATTCACCCGAATCTACGTGCGAGGCCTCATCGAAAGAAAGCAGAATGAAGACTCAGCATCAATGCGCGTGACCAACGAGGCTCATTTTAGGGTATGTTTGCAAGCAAGCCACATGCATCCTCTTCTTCACGAGACATATTGGCCTGGGCTTCTGTCTTGATATTACCAGGCTTACTCTTACTACCATTCCTTTCTTACTATAATCACTATTACTATACTTACTTTTCCTGCTTTTACTGTTGCTATCTATTGCTACTATTGGTTTTATTATTATTAATACTATTACGATTACAGTATTCTTACTATTCTTACCCCTAAGCCCTAAACCCCAAACCCTAACCTATTAGAACAAGGAAAACCCCAAACCCCCAAACCCTAAACTCCTAAACCCCTAAACCACTAAACCCCTAAACCCTAAAACCCCTAAACCCTCGACAGGTGGAGGCCAAGGTTGGGGCTTTGTCTGCTCAAGTGGCAGACATGGCCGCCAGGATGTTGGAGGTGTGGAGGGCTTTGGGTGTTTAGGGGTTCAGGGGTTTAGGGCTTTAGGGTTTGTGGCTTTAGGGGTTTAGGGGGTTTAGGGTTTAGGGGTTTAGGGGTTTAGGGTTTAGGGGTTTAGGGTTTAGGGTTTTGCCCCAAATTAATTAGGGGTACCTTCGAAGGGCGATTTGGGGTTGTATAGGGGTAGTATGGGGTTATATAGAGTTTCAGGTTAAGGGATTTGGGCAAGATCGGAGGTTTCTGTTGGTATGATTGCTGTTGCTATCATTGCCAAGATTACTAAAGGGTGGGAACGTGGGGGTGTAATAGGAATTTAGAAGGGCTTAGGGTTTAGTAGGGAATAAGGGAGTATAGAGTATAGGGTTATTTGGGGATAATGGAAAACAAACTGGAAACTAGTGTTTAGGTTTGGCTTGTCTTACTGGTGGTTAGTAGGGAATAAGGCATATAATCCCCCATATAATCGCTGTAGAACTTATTCCCTTATTCCCTACTAACCCCTAGAAAGTTGTAGTGGGGGGAGTTGTAGAAGTATCTCTAGTATCATGGGTTCTCTACTACCCCCCTGTACACTAGCCCCCAAAGGTTTCCCCTGAATGAACCTTAATTAGTAGGGGAACCCATGATAGTAGGGTGAGTGGAACAGCAACAACAGCAAGCACCGAGTCGTTCTTCTGGTCTCCGTGGCTTCCAGCAGTGCACCAAACAGATACGGAGCGTGAGCGCCTGGATTGTCACAAAATGAGTTCTTTAGCAAGGTTCTTTGGCATCACCTGATTGAAGGGTGGATGCTTCAACAAGATGGACGAATCTGCATTGTGCCTTGCACCATTGGATCCGGGGGCAGGTGGAGGGCAACTTGGACTTCGTTCGTGAGAGCGACCTGCCGAGCGGGGAGGCAACGGGATCGGGCTTCTTGCTCTGCAATTTGCTTCCGCCCGCATTTGCCTTTGCAGTCTGCCCTAGTAAGTTGCTCCACCATGGGACGATGTCAGTATGACCCCCGAGTTTGTTTACAAAGTAAATTCTAGTCCTCTGAAGCATCTTCGTGGCCAGCCGTATCCAGCCGCAGTGCCGCTCGGGAGGCTGCGTCGCCCGAGCGTGCTGCCCCGGACAAGGAGGCTGGGAGCCCAGTTAGAACTGAGGGCTGGAGAATAACCGATCCCTTTCCTGTGTGAATTCCCTTGCCTTATGAAGCTCCGCGAGAATAGAATTGGTCAATCCTAGTCGCACGTAATCATGATAAGGCACAGACTCAGACATGGCAAATATCGGGCAACAACATTCACCACAATCATGATAGGGATGTACGGCCATCCTCAGGCAGATGACAGATTCGCAACGAGGGGTTATCAAGAAACATCGCTGTTCTACTTTGAAGGACTCTGGAGTAAAGCAACTTCTTCTACATTTGTGTTCAAAGTGACGTAACCCACTTGAAGCCCTTCAACATCAGGCTTCCAAATCCCTTGCATCATTCCAGCATCTCCAAAAGTGATAAGGCGTGACAAGAGAGACACAATGCATTCTGAAACCTGGTTTTGGGGCTCTCGAAATTAGACCTGGTTACCTTGCCTTGCTGGTGCTAAAGGGGGAGTGGGGTTTCCCAAAATTAGCGGTGCCTTTTTAGTGGATCCTTACGATCAGGATTTTAATGCTTTGGGTTCCTAGATAGGGTCCCCCTTTTTGGGAAGTTACCATATAGGGATGGTAAGTTCCTGAGAGAAGCAGGTTCCGGCGCAGCCGAGTGCGCTGCAGGTGATGGATGGGGACTGTGAGATGACATCATATGAGCTATAGTCTAAACTCCTTAAGGGGGCCACATAGGGGGATTATATAGGAGAGCAATATGGGCGTTATCAAGGGGGATACTAGGAGTTTAGACTAGAGCTCATAGTCATCCATACCTAGGGTTTTAGGGTTTGTAAAGGGATTACATAGGGGTTTACCCCAATAATGAATCGGGAATCATATGGAAAAGAACATGGAATATGAAATGAACCCTGGGATTATAAAGGGCTGTAAGTGTGTGAGGGTTATGAAAGGAAGGGTGGTCAAAATTATGGACCCCTTGTAGGATACCCCAAATCCACCCCGTATATTGAATATTCCCTTGGTTTGAATTAGAGCATATTGGGAATGATTAATATTCCCGGGTGGGTGTTTTTAATATTAGTGGGAGGTGATTAGAATGGGAACCTGAATAGGGACTACAGGGACCATACAAAGCGGAATCATGTAGCGGTGCAACCCTATCACAGAATGGAAGGGATTTCTTAAGACTTACGAACTAGGGATTGGAGGGCCAAACGTTCTCAGATAAGAATGACAGGAGAAGCTGGAAGCCGTGGCCGAGCATTTGGAGGCTGTTCGTGCTGAGAGTCACGCAACCAACCAACCAGCCATGTGAGTTGCGATTCCAGAGTTTTGGAACCGCTTTTGTGCCCGCCGTCTTGTTCCTTTTCCATTTTTAGTGGCGCTTTACGATGCAAGCTCAACCCTGAGCCCAAAATCGCAAACTCTGCACTTGAAGCCCTAGCCCCAAACTCTAAACCCCAAGCCCCAAATTCCAAACATCCCTGGGCACTAAACCATACAGGTCGTTGACGACCTGTCGGATCGGATCGCAGAGCTGGAGCGCCGACTGAGTACAGGCCAGCACTGCGATTTGGCGTAGTATATGATCTGTTGTCAAAACTCCTGAAAGGCTGGTTATGGAGGGGAGTGTTATGGAGTGTTATAGGGCTTATCAAGGGGGATACGAGGAGCTAAGACTGGCTCATACATATGCGTATATCTGTATATGTTTTTGTAGAGAGGGCAGGATTACTTGGGGATGTATGTTACGTAGGCATGCCTGATGAGGATCATTCAAGGTTTGGGTGAATATGGGGGTTTCCCAGAATTAGTGTATAATAAGGATAATAGTATTTTGGAATCTATATTGGGGTCCCCTATCTGGGAAACTACCACAGCATCCCAACAAGTGGAAAACCAATTGGAAAATGAACTGAGTAGAGGGGTATAGAGCGGCGTATAGAGCGTGGGATAAATGGCGGGCATCTCCCTAGCAAGGGTTAAAATGTATCAGGGTCTGTATGGTGCCCCCTCTTTATGGAAGCTTTCACAGAATATTTCAAATGCTGTTTTGTCCACCTCTCAGTGAAAGCGACTGGATTTTTATGCACCGTTACGATCCCACAACGTAGTGTTGAGAAGCGGTCAGACGGACATTTCCCAATTGGGAATTTCCAGCGAATTATTTCCGTTTAAGGACCTGAAAAGGAATTCCATAGTTCGGTCATGCGTGATGAGGTCCAACAGTAGATGGACGGTGAGGGAAGCTTCTCGATTTTAGAATGACGACCTCGGCTACCTGATTTTCAGGTTCAATCATTTCAGGTGCCCGCTCATGCAGAGTACGAGGGTTCTACTTGTATCTAGAATAGCCAAGAATAGTGAGAATCTTTTTTATAGCTTTGTGTCATGTGAGCGGTCGTCAAAACTTGCGCGAAGAAGATTATTTAAGGCTTGGATATGGAGCCCCAAATGTACCAGAACCTTGCAAGCGAAGGGACCCCTGAAACGCGACACCCCTCGCCAACACCCTGTCAAGCAATGGGGCAACCCGAACAGCAAGTTTACACAGCCACTATTTTTCTTAGTATTATTGTCATTACTCTTATTTCTTTTGCTATTTTACGGTTGCCCAAGGCTCAAAGTTAGTGATCCCCCAACACACTCGCAAAACATGCTTGTCTTTAGCATAGCACCCCTGAAAAAGCACATTACCGTTGATCTGAAGAAGACGTACTTAATCCGGAGCCTCTGAGCCCTGCTATAAGGGCTTAAAAAGACTTACCAATATTTTGGTCCCGGATCCCTTGAATAGTTATACTGTAACGTACCTCAAATAGATCTCTAAGCGATATATTGGTTGGCCTCTACACTGCACAATCCCTGCAAAATCACAATAGAACCCCAGCTTTACCCTTTGATCTTTCATCATCAGTGCCTGTACGATTGTGGCTTTACGTTGCCTCCGTTTCTGGAGGCCAAGACTTCCACCCCAACTTGGGAAGCTCATCACCTGGACCAATGTCTGAGGTGGGATGGGCGGTCTAAAGCACACATGCGGATTGCCTTAAATTCATTGTAGTACAGGTCATAGTAGGGTTCCCTGTTTAATCTGGGTCCCAGTACGAATTTCACCTGTTTTGGGAACCGTGATTAAATTTGATTTGGGCCAAGCTTGTTCGCAACAATTTGGGATCCTTTCTGAGGTTCCTAAAGCAGCTACCCTTTGTTTTGGGGTCGGGTGGTAGACCCGGACGCAAGGTGAAGGGGCTGGTACGGGAGTCATAGGGTTCAGGGTTTAGGTATGAGGGTTTAGGCATCCTTTTAGGACTAAGAGTAATAAGAAAAGCTTGAGGCGAACTACTTTCGTAAGTTCTCTTTGATTTGTAGGTCGTGGAGAAAAGTATGTTCCTGGAGCTTGCTGACGACAAACATTGTTGCTCAAAAGCTTGGCTTCTTTTGGGTGCTTTCAGCATAGTCTAGTCTGAACATCATACCAAATATCCACCACATAATCCTTAGTACAGAATTCCATCAGCCCTATGATCCCTGGGGCCTACATTAAATCAGCTGCAGAGGTCGGCCTTGGGAATTTTGGGAAACCTCCAGAGAGTCTGATACAAGAGCTAGGTGAGTAGCATTTTTTAGAGATTTCATATAGTAGTAATGTCAAAGAAAATGGTACTATTATATCATCACAGGGTATATCTTGGGGTTATATAGTACTAATGGAAAAGAAGATGGAAATGACTAGAGTATTTAGGTTTAGGGTGTAGGTTTAAACGGGGATATTGCAGCCCACGCTTAGCTGGATCCACTGAAGTCCGTGAACACCATCTTCCCCAAAATGTAGAGTCAGAGCAATCCTCCTTTTCCCACCGAAGCATTTGGCATGTAATCCTTATAGCTCCAGTCGAAGCCGTCGAAGCCCCCTTTCCATTTTTCGGATTTTAGTTTGCATTTACAGACCGTAGCCCCCAGGGATCCTAGGGATCTGTAGGGATTACAAGGGGATCATTATCACGAGATGCTTGCTTACTGGTGCTTAAGGGAGAGTGGGGGAATTGATCACCATAATACGTACTCCCTATATATAATCTCTATATATACCCTTACAGTGGTACTCATATTCACTCCCCCACTCCCTCGGGGGTTGGGTTGTTATGCGTGCCTCAGGTGAGCTTTGGAGGCGAGGCTCCCCTGAAGGCTGGTAGTGAGGATGTCCAGTTGGCATGACGAGTTCTAGTGAAGGAACCGTAGCTGCTCAGGAGTACTGGCAATGATTAAGAACTGTTTGAGAGTAGGAAGGGTAGGGATGTTGGCCCAACGCGTGAAGATTTTCCCTATCGTTCTGTATAGTTGCAGTCTCAATGTAGTTCGACCAAACATGGTGTGGAGTTTGCAGGCTTCGAATGCGCTGCCAGATGGTGTTGCCAGCCAGTCCGAACCTTACCTCCAGCATGTGCGCTGGAGGAGAGTGGAAGCTGAGCCTTCAGGCTTGGCGAGCTTCAGCTTCGAATAGATGCCATCGATTTGAAGATGAAGTCCGTGCAGGAGGTCGCTGCAAGTGATGGCAGACAGGTTTGCGTGTCCAGACTTCATGTCTCCATGTCGCGCCAGGCTGCGCTGAAGCAAGGCCCACCTGATGGGAAGGCGCGAAACACCTTGCGATGTCATCCAAAGCGCTCCGGAGGCAGTCGTTGTTCAGATTGTTTCGCCATTCCAAGGCCGAGGAGGAGGTCAAGCAGCTGCGCAGCGAGTCCGTGACCTGAGGAAAAACCCGGGAAGTCCTTGCGCTGACGGCGCGGACGGCTGAGGCTCAGCAGCTTGCGCGCCCGCCTGGGCGAGGCTGAGCTCCAAATGGGCTCAGCACGAGAGGCGCAGTGGCGCAGTGTTGGCGTCCAGCGTTGGTTGCTGTTGCTTCGGGACGGCTCTCCTGGTGCCAGGCAGCTGCTTCTGAAGCTGAGTCCATACGCAAGGCTGCCAGCCTAGACACATGACTTCTTCCGCTTTGCTTTGTGAAGAGCAGGAGCTTGCCAAGAAGGCCGAGGCCTGGGCCTCACTTTCTACATCTTTCTTTAGATCATTGCTCCAAGAATCTCTCGCACGTTGGGCACCATTCCTTTACCAAAGCCTGGCTTGCGAGGTATCGCCATCCTCGGAGTCGGCGGCTTTGCGCTCTGAGCCTTCGCTGCAAAAGTTTTCCTCAAGATGTCTCAACATGCTTTATTATTAAGGCTGCTAGAGGCCCTGCTAGGCGTTTCATAGCGCCGCAAGCTTCTGATCGGTTCCTCGAAGGAGCTGATGGACAAACTCAAAGAGTGCCATGCCGTCCAGGACTGGTTCTCAGTAGATTTAGCAGTTTCCCTAAACGGGGGGCCGGAACCCCAGTTTAGACCCCGAACTACCGTAATCCTCATTATGGGGATCAAAAGGTACCCCCCCAATGTTGGGAAACCCTGCAAGCACTAATATATCTCTGTCAACACTCCTATACAATCGTAACCGCTATATCCCCTTTAGAGGTAACCCCCCCAATTTGGGGACGCCTAAAGCCCTACAGCCTAAATACCCTTCTAATATAACCCTATAGCCCTGTAATACAACCCTATAACCCCTATGATATAGCTCTATAACCCCATTTCTGGAGATGCTTTCACGCTTCGTTGAGAAACCCTGGGTTGCAGGAGCAAGCCAAGAGATCCGCTGCCTCGGCCACTGCAGGGGTCAAGGAGGCAACTCACTAGGGTTGAAGGTCTGGAGTTCAGGGTTTAGGGGTTAAGGTTTAAGGCTTCGGGCTTCGGGTTAAGGCTTAGGATTTAAGGCTTAGGGTTCAGGGTTCTTTTAGGCCTTGGGATTCAGAGCTTTGGGTTTAGGGCTTTATTTTGGGGATCTATAGACCTCAATACAGAGCAACCTCTTTTTGGGCAGAGTGTGAACTGCAGAAGGATGAAAGCATCTTACTCTACCAGAGGAATATAATGTTACTTGGTTCAACCGTCATCAAAAGAGACACCGCGCACTTTGCAATGTGAAAGAGATCTACAAGCGGCTCGAACCTCTTACCAAGTGCTTTCCAGATATGTGCCGCTCGTGCACTTCTTCATTTATGTGTCCATGAACCTCCAACATCATCACGCTTGCTCACCCTCAAGCCCTAAGTGAAGAGGTAGACCATGCAGAGTCAGCGAAACCCACTGGCACCCCTAGGGATTGCTGCAACAGGTCAGGGATGACGTGGTCCTGCTCTCCGAGAAGGTGGGGGGTGTATTGGGCTTTGGGCCGCCCTATTTGCAGGTGTTCGTAGGATACATGAGCTCAGGTTGATGCCACTCTTGAAGACCTCCAGGAAGGCTTGACAGCGGCGAAGGAGGCGGTGGAGGCCCGTGTCCCATGTTCATTTGCGAATAAGCCGCCCAGCTGCGAACTGTTGCAGTGGCACGGTCAGGCAGTAATGTCGCCCATCAAGCAGGAATTGAAAGAACTGCATGGGGCTGAGCTATGAAGGTGTCTCACCGCTTTCTGATGCCAACCGAAACTCAGCAGGCGCAGTCGGCTCCCCGACGCTGAAGCGGAGGCTAGCGCAGAAAAGGCCTTGCTGGACAAGCTAGAAGAGGTGCTTCGGGGAATTTTTTTCTTCAAGCTGTGACTTGCCAACTCTGAAAAATCCAAAAAATGGTAGGTGGAGAGCAAGATGCGCGAAATGCAGAGTGCAACTTCGAAGGCTTGCGGATTGAGCAAGCCCAGAGTGTGAAAAAACAACAAAAACTTATGTCTTACAGGCCCAGGTGCCTGTGAAGGAGGGCTTGGAGGAGCTTCATGAGCTGTACCTAGGCCTCTTGTTCTTTGTCAACTTTCGTCAACATTCTGCTTGCATAATGGATCTTTGGGTACTAAAAAAACAACGAAAGCAAAGGACTTGTGCATGCTACAAACAAACATTGTCATGCGTGCGAGCACTTTGAGACTGTTGAGTTGTTTCTAGGCATGCTTGCCATTGTCTTGAAGTTCAAAAGCTGCGCCAGCAGCTTTTGCTCGTGGCTGTTGCTGATGCTCTTTATTCAAGCTGTGGCATGTTGCCGGGGAAGCGAGAGGCATGTTCTCTTCCTTGTGCTTCTTTCTCCAAGATCCAAAACGAGTTTCTTCTTGTGAAAGTTGTCGCGAACTCTGCTTGAAAGATCCTTTACCCAGTCCTGCGCGCCTGGTTGTGACACCCGTCGCCTGGTGGTTGTGTCACGGGCCGTGGCCCCTTGGGCATGGCGCGTGGAAAGCAGGCATGCCCTGTGCACGCAAGGAACACTCAAGACCGCGCACCCACATGTTGTGCATCAGTTGTTCTCCGTGAGTGTTGCAGCTGCGGCTACGTGGGGCAATCGCAGAGGCGCAGCAATTCTTCGGTTTGCTGCAAATCACAGCTTTCACCCTGCAACCGCTAGATACTTTGTTTTAACCTGCCGTGCCCGCAACTAGTCGCTCACGCGAGACCGCTGCCTCGGCAAGGGCCCCTCGCCACTGGCTTCCAGCCCCCAAAAGCCGGTTTCTTTTTGCTAAGGTTTGGGGGGGTCCTATGCTCGCGATAGACAGCAGCCTGCGCGGAACCCCGCCAACCACGGCAAAAAGAAACGCGGATCTGCTCCCCCCCCCCCGTGGTGCGTGGTAGGGGGAGTGCAATCTGGATCCAAACGCCTCGAGCCTCTGGCCTGGGCGGAGCTTGGAATCCACTGTGCGCGTGTCATGACGACCCATGTCAGAGAGTTCCTCTTGCTCTGCGCAGGACAAGCTCACTCAGCTGCAGATTGCCTTTGCCAGGATTCCAAAGCTGTGCAAGTAGTTCAGCTTGAACGACCTGAGACCTTTCCACATGATTCCCTTATCTGATCATCGGTAAATCGGGCAACTGAAGGTCTTCAATTTTGATAAGCCCCCATGTGAAGGATCGAGCAAGCCAAACCAGATTGCATTGATGACACCATCATCGTCTCTTGCCTGCAAACAGTTTGTGCGCGAGCGCAGGCAAGTTCCATGTGTGAAAAGGTCAGCCGCCTGGATGCCCTGGACAAGCGGATGGATGAGGCAAGCGGAAACTAGATGCAGGTGTTGAGAGATCGTGGAGTTGCCTGACCGAAACAATCCGAAACATGTGCGGGCTCTCAAAGCCACAACTTTGGAGGACCTGCAGCGCAAAGGGAGCAAGCTTGAGCAGTACCTCGAAGAGGAAGTGCAAGGGGTGGTAGTGGTAGCTACTGAGTAGCATGATGTAGCATGGGCATGCTTGTTTCGCTGCTTTGATGTGACGCAGGAGATTATTGCTATCAAGCAAAGATTCACAGAGGAGGCCTTCTGACTGTGTTTGCGATATGAGATGGGTCATCATGGGACTCCGAAGTTCAAACAGGTAGCTGGCTTGAGCAAGCGCATGGACACTGCTGTCGCTCTGGTCTTGGAGCTTTTATGCCAGTTGTTTCATCTGTTTTTGCTGGACTAAAGGATGAATTTTCAACAGCCCAAAATCTCGACCTTCCTGCAGCCTGCATAATGCTGGTTGCAAAAACAACCTGCCCGCAGCAAGCGCGATGCCATTGACATCATCAGAACAGCATGACCGTAAGGGCAGCGTGACCAGCATGTGATGACTTTCGAGCCTCACAGCTCAGCCAGTGCAAGTGCTGTTCTGAAATCAAGGCCTCAATTCGCACAGCGCAAGAGGACGCTGTGAAGCAGGCAAACCTGCAAGTTCAAAGGTGTTCTTTTCTTTGAAGCCATCTTGGCAGCACCATCACAAGTACTGCCGACAGGATCATGGCCAACTTCACCAGTGGGAAACTTAGGAAATCTTAGGAAGCGATTTGATGCCAGCCCATATGTTCAGACATCAGGCATCTGTTCACTGATGGAGATATTGATCACCGAGAGAAGCAAGTGACAGCTTCTAGCCTTAGCGCATGCAATGACCAATCTCCGAGGATGGAAGATCTTCAGCGAAAGCTTCTTGAGGTGTGCCCGACAGTGTCTTGCATTGTTGCATCTCAATTGTCTCATGGCATGGCCATCCTGGCCAGCATGCAAAGAGCTTGGGTGTCGTAGTTTGTGTGACACGCTTGGCAGCTCCCGACGGAAGTCGTGTCACCTGACGACTTCGGCGAGTTTTGGCCTTGGAGCTCGGGGGCTGAAATGGATCAACGACTGCACTGCCGAGGCTAAAGGAGCAAGTGAAGCAAGTGGAGCTGAAAATCTCTGCAGGCACACCGCTGCCGATGTGCAGCTTACTGTAACACGTGATGGGCAAGAAGCCTGACAGATGGGCGTTCGCAATGTTGGCTGTTATACGCATTCTGTGCAACAGCTTCACAGCTAAAATGCTTCCGCGCAATTCTGCGACAGGGCTTGGCGCCAGCTTCGTGCCCAGCACTGGACCGGACGCTGCCGAGGTGCACCTTCATCCGTAAAGTTGCTGGGAAACACGTTCTGCGAGTTGTCGTTCGTAAGAAAACCCTTGAAATCCTTGTTGATGCAGAGGGTCCAGAAATTCAGCACTTTCTTGCTGCGGTGCCCTTGCAGCAGTTGAAGGACACGAAGATCCGAGCACAAGTCCAGGATCAGGTGCCGCGTTTCCGAGATTCTGTAATGGGTTAAAGGCAGTGAGCTTGTGTTGCATCTCTAGCCCTGACCCATTTTAACGCCTGGAGGTGCAGGAACTGGCAGCCCAGCTGTCCAAGGAAGTGGCAAACCTGGTACGGCTGGCAAGTGCTTGGCTTGCTGGAGGCAGCAAAACTGCATTTGCCATAGCCAGGCGCAGCAACAAAAAGATATCGTAGATACGCAAGCTACGGTGGAGGACCTTGTCCCTCGTGCGGGATTTGAAGAGCGGCCCTGAATCCTGAAAAAATCAAGAGTGTGAATCATGGCTTGGTAGCCTTAGCCCCACCGAGGTCACTAGACAATCCAGGCTCTATTCCCTTATGCATCCACGTGCGCATGCAATTTTTTTTGAGACCCCAGAACTCTGACTCCCGGAATATGCGCATAACATCTGCACAATGTATGTTCTCAAGTGTATCAAACTTCAGATTACGAATCCAAAGCTCTACTCGCTAGACACCTCTTGGTTGTTTCTAGTTTGCATACATGGAGTTTCTCAAAATGATCCCCGTATTGGCTTTATGATCCAGATACATCACTATTGTTCCTCAGGCCACCCGATTTCGACAACCTCATTGTTTTGCTGGCAGGACTTGGCCTCGCAGCTGAAGGCACAAACTTCCTCCGAGGAGACGGAGTGTCGCACTTTTTCACAAGGGATGAGTACGGGCTGGAGCATCATATGCTATCCTGCCTCTTGGAAAGGGGAAGAAGTCATGTTCTATTGTTCCCCGCACCGACAGTGTGGCTTTCAGATTTCAAGGAGTCTCTGTTCTCCTGGCTTTCCCTGCAGTGCATAACCGCGGAGTATCCCTGCAATGCAGAGTGTCCCTACAGTGCTCAACATTAGAGTATGCCTGCTGTACCCAACCGCAGAGTATCCCTGCATTGCCCAACCCAACCTTTGTAAGGGGCCCTTCACAGCCCCTATAATTTGTAACACCTTGAAAAAGAAAGACTTGATGTAGGGCTTACTTTTAACCCCTTTAAATGAGCCTATATTGTCCTCATATTCGAGCCCTTCCAACTCCCATCTTAAAGGAGCCGGTATAGACCTTCTAAACCCTGTAAAAGGGATTTTACAACCATTTTAACAACCATGGTCAAGGGACCTTATACAGCCCTTACGACCCCAGTGTTTTTGACCCTTCGTAGGCGTTATAATCCCTTTGCCATTTGGATGGGCTCTATAAATCGCTTATAACACGTTTGAACAGACCCTATGTAGGCCTTGTAAGCTTTGGAAGAGACCTATATAGCCTTCATAACCATTTTAAGCAGACGCTATGTAGGCCTTACAAGCTTTGGAAGAGACCAGGTGTAGGTTTCGTACAAAAGCTTAAAATTATACGTCCTGGGTGATTGGCAAAGTAAGATCCACCCCAAGTGCTGGACAACCACACTTTAGGGTGGGGATGCTCAAAGTCAAACGCCTTTTGGCCTCATAGGCAGTGTTTAACCGTTCAGATGGCTTAAGGGTGTCTCAAGACGTAGATGACTTTGAAGTGGGCCCTTTTCTTGGGCTTGCTACCCTCTATGCTGGCCTAAGTATCCACCAGGGTCCGAAACCCTGAACCCCAAACCCTAAACCTGCGTTCTGAGGATTTTCCACTGGGTAAAAAGTGAGTTTTTCGTACCTGGACCCTGCTGTACCGTTGGGGATATGGGGAAATTTAAGTACCCGGCCCCTGCTAGGACCGTGCTGCACCAGCATCCTACAGACTCGTACCTTGGAGAAAAAGGTCCCATAAAAAGAAACAACAACTAAAACAAAAACCTTAAACCCGCAACCTCCCCCAAAACTCAATTCAGGGTACAGGGAGAGCCTTGGTTTGCAGGATCTTGCGAAGCTACGCGCAGAGCTCGCCTCGTTGGAGCCAGCCTTAAGCAGTGCCAGATGGCCCTCACACGAGCTATTGTCTGAACTTCTTGAAAGGGGATATATATATATATATAGAGTGTAGGGTTTAGGGCTTAGGGTCTGTTGAACTTAGGGTTTAGGGTTTAGGGTCAAAACTTCTTATAGGGGATTATAATAAGAGGTTATCAAAGGTGGTTCTAGGAATTTAGACTATGGCTCATGTAGAGCTTTTATAGACATGCAGGGTTATGTAGGGGTATAGTGGGGAATTGAGAACCAAATGGAACCTACTCTGGAAGTTAAGGTTTATGAGCTTTATGGGGATCATGCCGTGCCTTTGTGTGTAAGGTTATATAATATATTAGAGTTTTTACATGGAGAAGCAACTTCAAAGCACACGGAAAGTGAAATGGAAACTTGGCTTGCAGGGATACAAAGGGGTTGCAGGGACTTTGCCACCACAACGCAGAACCAAATGGAAAAGAGACTGGAAAATGAGGTGGTAACCAGGGCATGTAGGGATTATAGTGCTAGGTTCTCAAAATTATGGGCATTTTACATTTTTTTTGGGTCGGAGCCAGCGCGCTCCTAGATTTGCATAGGCCCAAGCTGATTAGCTGACTCATCTAGCCGGCCACATCTTTGTCTTCTTGTAGATGTGCATCTTGCAACTTGTGGCGTGTCATGATCGGCAAGCTGTTTAGCAGAGGGCCTTGAATGGCTTTCCTTTGACTGCCCCTAATGTTTAGTGAGCATAATTTCGAAAACCCCCCATGTTGCTACATACATATATATATATATACACACCCCCGGGACCTGCAAAATTCTGTTGCGAACTCCTTTCCCATCCTTTGTTGAGCAAGCCCCATACCGCAGAGGCTTACGGGGCTATGCTGGGCTCATGTAAGAGCTGTTATCTGAGGGGTTGCTGCGGAGCTCAGGTTCTGACCCCACTGGCAACTGAAATCTGTAGACAACCCTGTGTGACCCCTAGATAATAACCCTATGTAACCCTACAAAACCTTGAGCAACCCCTAGATAGCCACACATGACCCCTATTCTGAAATTATTGGGGTAAAATCCCCGTAGCCCTAAATCGCATAGAATCCTCGAAGCAGTGCGTTTTTGGCAAAAGCTAAGCACCCGAGCTGGCAAGGTCGACCGAGTTGCTTCTGCGGAATCAAGCTGTTCAGCAACGAAGAAGGACATTTAAACGCTTGATCGATTAAAGTGCCAAGTGAAGCTAGTACTAAGCTTACATAGTATTTTCGAGATAGCGTCGTTACTGTTGTTTCTAACGGAATTTAGGATCCGCAGACATATTCGCACGTTTATATGTTACGCATGCATGTAATGTCATATACATGTCTATTTGTGCATTTTGTTGATGCATGCATCCACAAGTACATTGGTGTGACTTATTTTGCAGCCATTTATGCAGCGCTTTTGTACAGATTTGCCCATGCTCCCCAAGCTGCAGCCCGTTGGCTCTGCACGATGCCCCGTGCAGGATCTCGAAGCACTCTTGGGACCTCGGAATAAGATCGGGATCAGTCTGTTTCTCAGCAGTTCATGCAGGAACGTCTGGAGGTCACCAGGGGTTTCTGTACATTCTGCTTCTTCGCCTTCGTGCAACTAAGCTGCTGAGGCATGGGTGCCGGCAACGAGTCACCATTGGCCGAGGCAACTTGCCGGTGTGCCGAATGCAAGCTGCATACATGAAGAGCGCGCAAAAACAGTAGAGAAAAGTATTCAATTCTGTCTCGGATCACAATGACGATGGAGTTTGCAGGAATCATGATCGGCATTGGTGAGTCTTTCATGCCTAGAGGTGCGTGGTCGCCTCGAACTCCTGTCTGAGCAGGCCGCAACTGCTTCTCTGCAGTGGTTTATTGTTGCACAATTGTTGCAGCAAGCCATTGATTGCCTTGCCAGACTGACCTGTGCTGTTGGGATGCAGAGAGCATCAGGGACAGCTGCCCTTGCTCTGCAGGTGGCGGAGCTCCAGCACAGGCGGCTTCCCCCTTTTTTGCCTGCAAAGAGAGGGTATGAGAGGGTCTCTGTTTATTTGTTCTGGAGTCAGGCAGGAGGAGAGCCACACTGGAAGCGCCTGCTGCACAGTTTGTGGCGCAGTTTTCATCAAAGTTCCTGACTGCTCGTTTCGCCGTTCGGCACGCGAGGCTAGCATGAAAGGAGCTCGTCGCGATTCTGTGGCAATTTGGCAGCATTATATTGAAAACATGCCTGGGACCGCACTGCATGAAAGCATAGTTTGCTTTCCTCACTTGTCAGTTCACAGATGACCCAGAAGCGGAACACTGAAGCGTCTGGAAGTCTGTCCAGCCAAGGGCAGCGCCGATGGAAGTGACAACCTCAGCATGCAAATCGTGCTTCTTGGGGTGAATTGCCAGAGTCTGAGGTCTCAATTTCTCCCTGACAGAGCAGACTGAACGACCAGGCAAGACTGCTGCTACTGTCGCTGCCGCAGGTTTTGCTGCTGCTGCTGCTGCTGCTGCTGCTGCTGCTGCTCGCTGCCACTGCCACTGCCACTGCCCCTGCTACTACTGCCAAATACTACCAACACTGTCACTGCAACTGCCAACAGCGCAAGCACCAGCACTGCCATCACCGCTGCCCTTACCACTGTTGTCATTGTTGCAGTGCTTATGATTTGTACTCGAATCCTTGAGTCCTGTGTGCTGTCGGAGCCTGAGTTCCAGGCGCTCCAGGGGACAGCTTGAACTTCTCGCTGACGGAGCAGACGGCCAAGGTGCGCTATCTCTGCATTGCCATCATCATGTGATATCATGTGAGTCAGTCGACATTTTGATTCTGGATATTGTTGCTGAAGCCCATTTATTTCTTGAATCATGGTCGTTATTGCTTGTTTTGATGCTTCCGGCGGTTCTGGGAGTCAATGAGCACTTTCTGGGCCCAGGGCGATTACTCAGCCAGCGAGCCGTTTGGCAAGAGACCAGCCTGTCCATGACCTCAGCTGCTTGAGTTCCTTGCTAAACCCCAAACCCTAAGTAGTAGTTTCCGTTTTGTTTTCCAATGCCCCAATATAACCCCTATATATTCCAAGGAACAGTAAGGCCGGCCGGCACTGCTTCTCCTGCATGAGCAGCTGAATCGAGTCTTGCTGCTTCTGCTCCAGCCGCTGCCGCTGCTAGGGCTATGCTGCTGTTACTGCTACTACAAAAGCTACCACTACAACAACAACAACAACTACTACTACTACTACTATTACTACTACTACTACTATTACTACTACTACTACTACTATTACTACCGCTACTACCACCACCGCCACCGCCACCGCCACCGCCACCGCCACCGCCACCGCCACCGCCACCGCCACCGCCACCGCCACCGCAACCACCGCCACCACCCCC